CATTTGCAGCAAACATACTACAAAATGTTCTCTATAAGTGAATGCAGAGCCATTAAATATATCATTTTACTTGTCATGACATCATTATTCCTCTGTCATCTGTTGATGTATCATTGAGAACAGAAAGGAGGGATCTGTAAGGTGCCCTACGTCAAAACCCTTGGGCACCTGACTGATGCTCTATGCCACCAGACCAACGGTGGCATGACATGTCATGTATTCATGACATCAGCACTGCAAACCTTGCACTATGAGTGGCTGTTAAACAACCGATTGCCCTGCACTGTGGAGAGAACAATGAGGCTGGTCATATGGAACAGAAATGCAGGGCTGGGGGCATTATTTATGCTACATGGATGGATGAATTTCTTATCATAGAAGGAACTGGTAAAGAAAGCATAGCATGTTTCAGGTAAGCCACAAGACAGCTATTGTACGTATTCATTAACTGTTCTTCCTGTAGTTCAACTTTATAATGGATTTCCACTCCTGACCAAAATTGTGTAAATCCAGACATTCAGCTCTCTGCAATAGGGAAGTGCCCGGCCCTGCATAGATCACTGTAGCTCCTCATAGTTCTACCCTTGATTTTCATTTTTGTGATGTAACTTCACTCTGTTTTCAATTCATTCATACAAGGAGGTAAGGAGGCTGAGAAGGCCTAGGCAAGATACTTGGGGGTCTATTCACAAAGCTGCCGAAGGATCTGGCCGTAGCTTCGGCCGATCCTTCGGCTAGCTTCGGCCGCAGGACCACTTCGGTTCAGGAGAACCGAGGGGGTGCTGTACGGGCTATTCACAATAGCCCGTACAGCTCCCAATCACGGCCGAGTTTAAAAATTCAAAATAAGGTAAACTACAAAGCATTTGTTTAACAGCCAGGAAGTAAAAGCAGTGCAATCTATAATCATATAGGTGCTGTTTACAACATAGTATAGCTTTGCTTTGTTATATGACAGTAAAAATTAAGGCATGCTCTGCCAATTTACCACAATAATGTCCACCATAATTAGGTTAGTTCATAGTATTAGCTCCTTTATCACTGCCCAATTATAAAAAGAAATAGCACTTTAAGCAGACATAAGGCTTATTATAAGTCTACATTATAAGAAAAAAATAAATTCTGTGCGTTCCTTGTATTATGGGAACATTGTGTCTCTAGTGCTTTACTCATCTCTCCAGAGTTCCCATACATTGAAAGGATTCTGCCTGCAGTGTTTGCATACAGACCTATTGTATAATAATAGCTGTCATCTTAAATCAGACAAATGCAGTCTTGTATTCCTAGGGAGATGTGCAGTCCTATCACACAGGCGCTCTACAGGTTTATCATCTCTAAGTGGAAATATTTGTATGGATTGTTTTTTGTGCTAGCTAAAATCGAACTTGTGATGAAATCTTTATTTTTACATTTTCTTTGCTGATTTCCTAATCTCAGCAACGTTATAATACTTGTTTACATAAGCTATGAGCAACAAATCAAGGATATTGAAAAATTAGGACAGTAGTGAACAGTTATGTTAATAGAATGAATAATGAGAAGTGTTTTGCATTTCAAAAACATACTGTTTTTATTGCTTTGCTGTATTTTGACATAAATTCAGTTTTAACCCATTACTATGCAGCTATTGGCATGCTTATTGTTGTCAGCAAAGTGATTGCCAAATAGCATACCAAACATAATTGAACAGAACTGTGATCAGGTTTTAAAATTAGAATATGCAAAGGAAACACCAAAGCAGTCCTGGCTAATGATTTACTGGAACTAGGAATGGCCCTTATTATTGCAAGCATGCAAAAATAAATGACCCCATACGAACAATAATATTTACTGCTGGCAGGAAAGATGACAATGTAGAGGTCTCTCATTTGTAACTGTTTGGCCTCATAATATGGTAAAAAGTTTAACATAATAATTAGGGATGCACCGACCCCAAGTACCATACTCGGTACAAGTACAAGTACAAGTACAGATACTTTTCGAGCTCCAAGACTAGACTAGAGAAAAATTCAAAAGTTAGGAGGCAGCTGTCATTTGTAAGGAGCACACGGAGCTCCTGGGATTTGTACATCTCTGTTTTAATGTATGATTTTGTTTTGATAAATATAAATAAAGAGATGCACCGATACCATTTTTGCAAGTACAAGTACTGGTACATTTTTGTTTTATGTCATGTGACAGTTTTTCTAAAACAATACAGACTAATGATTTCAGGACAGTGGTGGAGCGCCAGAGCCAGATCCCAGCTGCAACCGTTGCAACCCTGGTAGTTCTCATGAAAATGCCAAGTATCGACACTGCTACTCAAAAAGTATCAGTGCACCCCTAATAATAATGATTATTACTACCCATTTCTTACCTTTGCTCTCTTTGGCTGCATTGAAAAAAAGTTATAAATCAAAGTGGTTAAATTAATTTTAGATCAGAAATGTAAATCGAGATTTTTACATTCAGGGCAAAAGGTTTCTATAAATGCCCTCATCCCCAAAACCAGGCAACCATTTTGAATCCTCCATGCACCTTTTGAATGCTATTGCACAAGACAATGGCAGCTCATTACTTTAGTTGTAAACGACATACCAACATTACTGGTATTTTTAAATGTCCTTTTTTTAGTGAATTACTTTTCTTCCTGTTACCTTTAAGTTTAAGACTGTTGACCTAGTTAAATCTCTGACAGCAAAAACAAATGATGGGTTGAAGTACAGGTAGATAACAAGGAAATGTTCACTTAGGTCAAGTTCACAGTAGCACCCAGAGTACAACATCTCGAAATGCAAGACTTTCATTTTTAAGCAGTTTTTAGGGTACAGTTGTTTTTTTTTTTACATGCTTCAGGAGACAGTTATAGACTGGAGACATGCTACAAATTCATGTGTCCACATTTATTCTCCTTACAACCTCCTTAAAATTACTTTGCCATATTTCTCGTTAGAAGATCTGTTTTAAAAGATCAGAGGAAAAACATTAAATGAGAAAAGTGATGAACAGTACAGAAACAAATAATAAGAATTGTTTAAAGAAAAATAAACCAAACCATTTAGCTACTAGAAGCCAGTCTAAAACATATGTTTCTTTACTGGCCCAAGTAAGCACCTTGGAAAACAATAGCCACAAGTTGGGCCCCAGGCGCTACAGTCATTGGTTACAATTAGAAAATGAACATGTTGAATAAAAACCACTGCTACTACTTATCGTAGTTATGATGTATTGTAAGTGAATACACAACTAAATGAAAATATATAGATTGATACAAAATTGAATGCACTACATAAAGTTATTTCTAAAGTGTTTGTCAGTGCTTTTTGTGAATTCATAGTATGTGCAGATGAATGTCAGAGGTTATATAGTTCACATGTTTTTCCCAAAATCTCACTCTGAGTGAAGAAATAGCTACCTTATGTCTTCTTTTATTGTTTCGGGGAAAATAAGTACAATTTAAACAGTGTAAGGGTCAAGCACATTCTCTGATAACAGCTATAAATTTTTCTTTGCCCTCATTGTTTCCTGTTGTAGAAAAGTAGCTACTGATGCTATGCTATTATCTGCAAAAGGAGAGATTGGCAGCTTGTTGGTTCTTTAGCCTAAGACAGAGAGAGGGCCCTTGGAGAACAGGTGAACCCTACAGCTTTTTCGCACATGAACAGCAGTTGGTTTAGACTATTTTTGTAGCCTCTCTGTGCCAGCAGAATTTATTTTGATAATATTTTCTTTCCACAATTGTACTAATTGTAAGTATGCATCTGCATTGAATATGATACAATCTTTAAGTCAAATGCAGTTAGATGAATACAGCATGGGAGCATTCCTGTACCATTATGTTTTAGGGTTGAAGCACAATAATTCATAATTAGCATTCTCCAGTGTGTATTAAAATGTAGTTTTAACAACAGCTAGGCTTTTACCTTTGTGTGTTATTGGGTTTACTAGTCCAGTGGCGCAAGACATCATTTTAAACAGCTAAAAGCACCATGTGTAAAGGGGCAGCTAGAACAAATTTGTTCACATTTGGCCTGTACAGGAAAATAATTTACATACAGGCTAATCTTTTACCCTCTAAAAACTCTATTAATGACTTCAATTTGGCATCTAAAGTGTTAGGCCTGATATACAGAATATGTAGCTGATGCTGAATAAGACTATGACCAAAACAAAAATCAAGGCAAAAGTATTCTTTAAATTTACAGACTTGGTTTTCAATTTACAGCAACACTATTAAAAATGAGTACTGGGACTTTTCAGGTGCTACAGAGATAAGTTACACTGTTATAAATATTTTATTATTAAAAACATCCTTTTCATTTTGCACTTTGCATTTTCCATATTTAAAAACATTTTAAAAAGGAATTACTGAAAGACAAATAGAGCTTAAAGTGACACTAAACTCAGGAGTTAAAGCTTAAAAATGCATTCAAGTACCTTAACTAGTAATAATACTGTACTTTGTGTATCACTCAGCTGTAGATCCTCAAATCATCTTTGAATTCATGCTGGCATCGTCCTTCCTTCTGGGGGGTGGCAACTTTTGTTCCCCATGGTTCCTGTGTGTCTTGTAAAGAATCCACCACTCCAGCTCACTCCCGTGATGGACTACAGTCTTACCTTGATTTGCTCATTTGTATTGAAATCATAATCCATTATGGGAGTGATCTTGGAGCGGTGGCTACTTAACAACACACACAGGGGCCATGGAGAACAAAAGTAGCCACCCTTCAGAAGGAAGGACAGTTTCAGCAGAAATTCAGAGCTGATTTGAAGAGCTACAGCTGAGTGATACACAAATAAGCTTCATTTGTAATAATAGTTAGGGTACATGAATGTATCTTTAAGAGTTAACTCCAGAGTTTAGTGTCACTTTAAGATGCCATTCACGTGCTAAAAGTTCAACAATGAGCTGAATTAAGTGAAGTTTACACATTATATCCTCAATGTCCCACCTACCACTTCATATGTTTAAAATTATTTAATTGTCACAGGCTGATTATGATGATGGGGCCAGGTTTTACCCTGTTTGGTAGGGCAATGAGAATATTATGTGGCAACTGTGATTGTTACAGTTGATTTGTTTTTAAATATACAAAAGTGCAATAATAAAGGGATGTTCATAACAAAAACATATGATTAACACATCTTTGTAGAACCTGAAAAGTCCCAGTATTTACTCATCTTCAATGGTGGTGTTGTAGTATAAACAGGGATGTAGTGTATTGACCTAATTGGCCAGTTCTAATTCATATATATGCTACTTTTCAAGTGAAAAACTTTCTTGAGAATCATGTTAATTGATTTACAGTTGTTACTGCATCTAGAACATTGTGTTAATGAATTTAGAGTAGTTTTAGCATCACAATGGGAATCTAATATTGGTGGCTGTCGGAGAAATAATGATGTTTTGCCTAATGTGATACTATCATCTGTCCTTAGCACTTAACTTGATTAGCCTTGCATTCTGGAATTCTGGTGCTTTACTTTCCAGTATTAATTACTATCAGAAAATGGTTTATGTGAATAAAGAGTTCCTAGAGGGTTTGCTTGACTTTAATCATCTTTTGTACACTTGGCTGATATATTCAAGGCCTTTTTGGCACCTGTGAAGAAATTGTATTATTTCCATATTTATATAGACTATACATCACTGTTTCCATTCCAATGAATACTGCATGTTAAGACATTTCAGTTCTATACACTAGGCTATAAAAAAAAAACACACACCACTTATAAGAAATATTTTGTTGTGTATGTAAAGTGAAACTTTTTACTTTTTTTTCTACCAGTCCAGCTTTATCATAGAGGTATAGATATTTTTAGTCAAATATGTATTTTGCTATTCACAAAGCACTAACAAACAGCAAATTGATCCCCATTCATTCAACCTTTACTACAGCAATAATTCATCTTTCTACCCGCTCTGCAGAAAATAATAGTTCTTCTCTGAATTTAAATAGAGATTTTAGTCATATAACACTGACTGTGTCCAGGGTGATGTACTTGCCTGCATTGCTTCACACTTTATGGCATTTTTATTTGCTCTCTTTACTTACAAAAATGCATGAGGTCAAAAGCTACTCTTTCAAAGTAGAATCCTTGTCAGCAGCCAAAAATGTTACTGCACAGAAAAGTCCTTCCCTTGGGATCTTGTAGTCCAGAAAAATGTCAATTTTACATGAAATATTTAGAAAAAGATTGGTTAACACAGCCAATAAGGACTGTTCCTCAATTCTAAACTGTGATAAATGAATGCCAGTGAAACATGGTACAATACAAAAATAAGGGAGAGTAGCAGGGGCCTTGGAATAAACTAGAGAGACTTGACTTAATTTGTGTCCATATTTGTCCTATTCTGCACTCTAGAAGTGCCAAATACACACTGATTTTGAGGAATTATCTTCCCCTTTTTATACCACTGGCGGAACTGATCATTTAGTTGTCTGCAATAGACCGTGGCTGCATTCAATTGGTCTCAACATCGCCATGTTATTATTATTATTATTATTATTATGCAGGATTTATACAGCACCAACAGTTTGTGCAATGCTTGACAAAATAAAGGGAAATAGCACAATTACAATGCAATGTAAGATGAGAGGGTTGGACAGCCTTGCTCATAGGAGCTTACAATCTAAAATATAATATGTACATTTGTTCATTAGCAAACTGACATTAAATCCAATACATGACAAATTAAGCAGAGTTATACACAAATCTTGATTTAGAAGACAGAGCAGAGAAAAACATGTAGCTGTTCCCACAATGTTGACAAATGAAAAATGTGTGATTTTCATATATTTAATGCATTACTAAATATGATGTGTTTGCTTCTAAGTGTTTTTGTAAGTAATTTTTTTGAATTTGTTGATCAATTTTCATCTTATTTTCAGTTTATTGAACATCTGAATATACATACTATAGGTTAACTCAAAATTCCTAACCTGGACTGTGCAAAATTAGAAGCATCTTAATGCTAAGTTGCTGTCTTTGGTTATATTTATCAGTCCAGTGAGCTAGAAAATAATGGCAAGAGGCTTAATGTGTGCTTCAGATTTCAAATCTAACGCACCTCACAGAATAGTGTTTTAATGTTTGCTCCTGAAATAAATATTTTTACATTTTGCATAAATTTAAATAAAGTTATGTTCTCTAAATCTTAAAAATCTTTATGCATACCATAATGACCAAACATAGCCATGGTAAATTTAGACACGTTTTATAGAACTTCTATGATAGCAACAGTTTTAATGTTATTGCCATTTAAGTTCCCTAAACTGCAAGGTAGCAAGATTGTATGCAATTATTAAATATAGCATAAGTTATTGCATGTACAATATATTTAAATAAATGTTGTAAGCCCAGACTTTTGCAGATCAAAGAATAGATATGCCAAAATGATAGATAACTACTTTGAATTATTTTAACATTTCCTAGAATTAAACAAGCATCACTTTTAAAAATCCATTTCTTACATCACCAACAATGTTGTTATCTCAGGAGAGCCATGGCCATCAAGTAAGCATCATAAATGTTTTAGAGTTTGTGTATGGAAAAGTTCAAATCAATGGTAAAGTAAAAGGGGTTAGGTTTAAAGAGACTTCAAGCATGAGTACCTTTCTATGATAGAGAAGTCATTAAAAAAGTGAGGTTTTGTCCAATGTAGATGGTGAAGGGAACATTATTTGCATATGAAACACTGAAATCGAGAGAGCAAGATATTTATTGTTGAACGGACATTAATATGTTGCTTGAAAGATAAAAGTAAATATTACGGGATATGTGTTGCACACTGTGTCTGTGATGTTTTGATTTATTTTGTAATTTTTGTCTGCAAATTAAATCGAAGGGGTTATATACGTTTTCTGGTATTAATTGGTGTGTATGATCAATAGCGCAGCTTGTCAAATATTTTTTTTTGTTTATATCAAGTTTGAAGTTTAATTGTATTGAAGAGTTGTAGCTGGGTGGGAATGTTACAGTTGGAGAGCACAGAAACTATTAATATTTATATTAAGCATCATAATTGTGTTTTTTTTAACTGCACTTTTAAACATGAAAGCAAGATTTTATCTAGTAAAGATAATGAATCATCAAGTATATTAAGGAAATGTACTGTCATTTTAGGGTGAACCTGGAGAGGCTGGAAACCCAGGACCCCCTGGTGAAGCCGGTGTTTCTGTAAGTCCTAAACGATACTCACTTCTCTGTGAAAATATTTCCATTTATTTTAGCATTAACCCAAAATATCATAGTACTGTGTGTAGTAGTTGTGTCTTGCTGGCCGTTGCTGTTAGCTGATAAGTTTCAGTCTGCTTGGTTCTTATAATATAAGACATTGCCTAACTGCTTAATCTAGAGACAGTCGGTTTGATTTACAAAAGGAGTTGAGACTGTTCACTTAGCAACGTGAATGTTCATTTTGCAAAGTGAATACTGTATTACCTGAGGTTAGTAAAAAAGGTGAAGCTGTAGTTAATGCAATCAACCAATCATATTATAGCAAAAATCCTGTTTTTGATCTTAGCGTCATTCAAAAAATACTGCCCTCCTGAACCTTAATCACACCCTATTGTATTTAAAGGTTTAAATCATGTTCCCCCTTTCCATGTTTTCCTCAAGACTGTATATTTTAAGTCCTGAAGTCTTTTTTGATGTGTGTTATCCCTCAGAACTTTCACTATTTATGTTTTCCCTCTCTGGAATTTCTTGAGGTCTCCAGAACTGGACACAGTATATTTAATGAGATCTGGCTTTTCCCACTGCCAGGCCATGCTGTTTGAATTTGTGAAATAAGAACCCATCAATAAGTTTTCCTCCGTACTTCTGGCCAAACTCTACCCCCAATACTGGATTCTATCAGAGGATTATTTTTCCAGAAGTGCATTATTTTGCATTTAGAAAGTTGAACCCCATTTTCCACTGGTTTCACCCATCTTTAGAGAATGCCAAATCATGTTCCATATTACAAACTCATCCAGGACTATCAACCTTATTGCACATTTTGTGTCCTCAGCAAACACCTTGCCCACCAAACCTTCAGTTATATCATTTGCAAATGGATTAAATAAAACAGGACCTACTAAAGACTTTTAGTACATCACTAGTGATTGGTCTCAGTTGTGTTAGAACCCCATTTACAACCACACTCTGATATCTATCCTATCAGTTGTGATCGAACCCCATTTACAACCACACTCTGATATCTATCCTTAAGCAAACTGCATATCCAAGAAATACCCAAGGCTTAAGTTTTAGCTTGCACAACTTTTTAGGAGATTATTTTGTGGAACTGTATCAAGTGATTTTTTGGAAATTAAGATAGATGTCCACAGCACCACCCTAATCTAAAACATTTGTGATATAGTCAAGAAATTTATATTTGTCTCACACGGTTTGCCCTCAGTAAAGCCACACGGCTTTGGGTCCAGCAAGTTGTGAGTTTTTAAGAGTATCCCCATTTGTAATTACCAGGCAAAGAATATGATCTCTTCTGGTTGGGCTTTTTACTAACTGTTTAGAGACAGCCCTTGTAAAGCCCCCAACATATCTTTGTTGCTGCATGTAAATCCAGTTAATGTCCAGCAAGTTAATGTCACTCATGATGGAATCTTCTCTCTTCATTGTTATTTCAGTTATATTTTCAATCAACAGGTTAGCTTAATCCTTATACTATGTTGGATGCATATAGACTACACCAATTCTAAGGGAAGATCCCTCTCTGGTTTGTAGGCAGACTCAGAGGGCTTCAAGAAGTTCATTAGATTAATGTTAGTTTTATGCTATTTGTGACAAAAATGGCAACTCCATCATTCCTACTCTTTCTTTCCTTTATGGGCTGGAATAGTTTTTATCCAGTCAATTGAATCCCCAAACCATGGCTCTATAATCACAATGAAATCCAAGTTATCCCTAGACATAAGAGTTGTCAGCTAACAAAGCTTGTTACTTTAGCAACTAAAGGCATTAGTGCACATGACATGACAAATACTGCTATCTACAGTTGAATGTTTAATAGAATCTTTAACTGTATTAACTACCCCATCAGCCAAAACCTGTAGAAGCACAAACCTTTACATTCTTTTTACTTGCTGGGGACAGAAAGAGTCCTGATCACTTAAATATCTTCCTCAATTTCTCAGTTTAAGTGCATTGTCAAAAACTCCACCTCCATACTAAGGAGCACATTAACCTTGTGTAAAAGCATCTGGCAGTTTTATTGCCCACTAAACTAGACAAATTAAAGGAAACAGTAAGCCACAATGAGTGAAATAAGTCTTAAAGGGTCTCATTACATCTGCTGAGGGCTACACCTACTTACCTAAGATTATAGCACTTTAGTAACAATATTTATAGTAATATTTGCAACTCACAATGTATTTTTCAAGAAAATGGCCAAAATACATTTCATGAAGTCTTCAGATACATGTTAGGTTAAGTGTTTCACCTAGGGAACATCTGGGACATCAATTGAAATTCAAAAACTAACTGAGGCCCACAACGGAGTGAGAGGGTAGCCCCAAACTACATTTTTTTACTTGCCAGCGCTGAACAGATCAATGAAGTTGTCTCATTTTGATTGGATAACTCATGACTAATGGATAGATTGCATTGCGAACAAGCATAGCAAATTAAGAGAGTTATGTAGAACAAGAAAGTGTGATGCTTCCTCAGATTAGTGTATATGTTGTTATACATCTGGCCTGTGTACAGTACCTGTAACAATTTAAGTAGTTTAGGGAGGTATTAGCTTTGAAGTGGCACATATCTGTGCAGCAGATATATTGTTTTTGTCATTTGTGATAATTAACATGACTACAACATTTGCTATGAAACCCAATTATTTCTACCTACTGTTCTGCCACTGAAGAATTCATTTAAGTGGTGGAATCATATCAGTAATTAAAAACTTCCCCCTGTTATCACACCATATTCAACAAGCTAATTTACTGGTATCTTGTGATCTTGTCTGCCTTTACTTAAGCATATTGGCTACTTCCCTTCCCTGTCTGATAGCTTAAGAACTGCTTTGTAAGCAGAGTGGAATGTGAAAGAGACATTTGCGATGGGATGGGATTTGAGGGATGACATAGATTCATTAAATAAAGACAGTACAGGTATTTTAAAGCTTTAGATGTTTTTTCCGATAATAACAATAGTGGTAATAAGGTTTTAGATACTTCGTAAAAATTGTTCAGGCCTAATATTCTTTTGGCTTCAGAGGTCCTATTCAAACACTATATAATCTATAATCTGTATATGTGTATTATTTGTAGGGTCCTAAAGGTGAAAGAGGAGAGAAGGGAGAAGCTGGACCATCCGGAGCAGCTGGACCAGCTGGTCCTAAAGGCCCACCAGGAGACGATGGACCAAAAGGAAATCCTGTAAGAAAAACATTTAAAAGACAGCTATTTTTTTCTCAAGTACATCTCTGATTATGCCATCTGAGGAGCGATAATTCATCCTCTTAATGTGTGCAGCTTGAGATACTGAGTTCAGTTAACAACTGGCTTCTTTTAGCAAAGCTGAAAACTGAAATAGCCAACTGTGTAAAAAGAAGACTAGAGAAATACCTGCTAGTTGGATAGAAGACTGCATAATATTTATATGTAATATTTAATTTTTATCTGACTGTAAAAAAATAAACTATTACATAAAACGTTTAACCATAATATATTTAAAAAAATATGTATACTGGCACTATACATTCCTTTTAAGTCTTGGTGTTTCCTTGTATTTGATAAAACTGTATATTTAACATTCTTAAAATCATCTCTTCATTTCTCATAATGTGTAGGGTCCTGTTGGATTCCCTGGAGATCCCGGTCCTCCTGGAGAACCTGGTCCTGGTGTAAGTGATTTGAGTGTATAAAATGTATTTTACTGATTGCTAACGTTGAATAAAAACCCTTTTTTTTATAACTGATTGTGTAAATAATAAAGAGAAAAGCATGTCAAAATATTTCACTACTTAACAATCACATACCTTTATATAACTGCTGGATAATTATAATAGTACCGACTTCAACGAGCCATTGCTTTCCTGCACCTTCATAGCTTTGATACACATTAGAACATGTCTTATCATGTCTTATCCTTCTGCACAGAGACAGGAACTTAGGTGAAATCTATCCAACAGCAATGAAAATTTGACAGAAGTATTTTGTTTTACATCTTAGCACTTTTAGCTCAAGAGCTGTAAAAAGATCCCTTACAGAGTGCAACCTGTTGGTTAGTAATTAGGAAAATTTTTGTAGCAGTAAATGTAACATTTTACATTTACTGGACTAAGGCCACAAGCACGCGGCCTTAAAAAAACGCAATGCACAGTGTCTTTTGTGGTCAGATAGGAATGCAGGTGTATAGGCTTCAGTAGGGACATGCACACAGGTGCGTAAACATGTGCTGCATTCAGATGAGGGACAGAAAATTGAACAATCTGTAAGTACATACATTTTATAAGTGTATGCATGTATATACATGCATACAGGTTTAAATTAAGTTTGAACAAGAAAATACATTCACAACGGAGCAGGAGGAATGGGACTAGAGTTGCACGCATTTAAATGCATACTTGTCTCCACATCTAAACGTAAGACTTTTACTGATCATTTACACTGCAAATTTTTGTCCAGAAAAAAGATGATCAGTAAATTTCTTATAGCTTGAAGAGGAAAGAAAAAAAATATAGAAGGTGGGGAATTCTGCCCCTGTGATTCAGTTAAGCCTGAAATCCCCATAAATGTACATGCATTCGGATGAGTGGTCAAAGGTGAGGAAGTATGGAGCCCATATGCCTAATTCACTTTTGAAGCGTGTGAAGTTCAATTGACCTCAAAAATATGTCTAAAAAACCATCACATAAATATCCCACCCTGCAAAATGGATCATATGACCAGATTCAGCAGACTGTTGGCATAATAGATTTTTACAAATTCTGTCATCTCTTAGGGGTCTATTCACTAAGCTGCCGAAGGGTTGCTGTACGGGCTATTCACTATAGTCCGTGCAGCTCCCAAATTCGGCCGAGTGGCACAGTCCAGCCGAAGGCATATGCATCGGCAAGACTGAGCCGAGGTGAAAGCCGAAGGTGGCCGGCCAACAACCTGCTACTGACTGCTGGGTGGAGCCAGCCGTCATCTCACGGCTGGCTCCGGGCAATTGTATAGGCAGATCAGCATCCCTGGTTACCAGGTAACCAGGGACACTGATCTCCAGACAGCCCAACTCTCCTGGGCACTCCGGGAGTCTCCCGCTATTAGATAGCGGCTCCCGACCGCCCGGGAGAGTAAACCTTTCCCTGCTCTGTTTTTTTTTCCTTCTGACATCGGAGTCGTTGGCTGCCATCAGAATAAAAAAAAAGAACCATAGGAATGCATAGCTAGATTCCTATTGGCTATTTCAATTTGCAATAGCCAATAGCAAAGTAGCTATTGCACCCACCCACTGCTGCTGTCAATCAGCAGAGGGGACCTGAAGTTCTTCATCAGGTCCCCTCTAGTGATTGGCAGCAGCAGAGGGCAGGTGCAATAGCTAGTTTGCTATTGGCTATTGCAAAGTGAAATAGCCAATAGGAATCTAGCTATGCATTCCTATGGTGGAGGCGGGGGGGAGTGGCTGCACTTTGTCATCATACAAGCACTCGGGCTGCTATAGAGCGACTTGAACGCTTGAATTTCACAGCCAGTACCGGCTGTTAAAAGAATTTTGTGGGATTCTGCTTGCTCTCACAGAAAAAAAAAATTACGTACATACACATCCACCCACCAGGAAGAGTCTGCCGTCCACCCATGTATTTACAGCAGGCAGACGGCAAATGGTTAAGGACTGGTAAGCTGCAATATATTACATTTTTAGATAACGTTCAATAGTGTAAGTATAACACAACAGAATTTCACTTCACTGTAAAATGTATTCACTGCAAGCACATGGATTATTCTGTAAGGTATACACAATAGACCTTATTTAATAAGGCAGAGAACAGTGTGCCAAATACGTTAACCTGTAGCAGCTAGTTCCTTATTATTCTGACTTCTTAAGACTAAAGGTGAAATCTTATTGACTTCCATAGGTTACTGTCCATCACTGGTTTTGTAAAGCCTTATTAAATAAACCTGGTTTTGTGATTTGTTCTGCGGAGAGAACTTTCACCGGTAACAAAAGCAGACAAATAAATTTAAAGTCAATTCTATTCACTATTTTATATTGCTTTAACATGTTTTGTTTTTTTATCTAAAGGGTGCAGATGGCCTTTCTGGTGACAAGGGTGAAGATGGTGATTCAGGTCAACCTGTAAGTATTGTTTTTTTAACTCCTAGGAGGCTCTTTACGATTCCTACCTTTATTTCCTGAAGTGGCGTAGCTTTTTTTACCAGAAATATTTTTTCTGCTGTTGACTCTTGCACTTAAGAATATAAAGCATGTTTTACATGACAACGTTATTATTTTCAAAGAAATGTCTGCTCCTAAATATGTGACAGTAGATTTAGATATGAGTAATCATATAATCATTTTTTGGCATTTTTTCTCAATAGTTTAGCAACCAATAGCATAATATAACTTTAATTAATGATGTGAATACTTACATTTTTATAATATATACAGAATAGACATGTTCATTTGGACGCGGACAAACTTACAAATCAATGAAAATCAGTTGATTTGGCGGTTCCTCCGAATCCGAAATAACAAATGTAATACGCCTGAATATACTAAAACGATATTCGGGCGTACATTAATGAATTTTCAAAACACACCGGCGTGTTCTGTACATGCCAGCCGCCATCTTGGAGGCGGAGCGTGTGACGTCACATAGCGGTGCTCGAAAATGCGGGTGCCGCCATCTTGTTGTATACCTAGATCTACTCCAAAATGGAAGCTCACATGCTCAGAATGCGCCGGCGGCCAATATGGTTGCCACTCATTCTGCGGTTTCAGTGTACAGTTTCAGATTCGGAGGCTCTTTGCCTCCGAATCCGAAACAACATTATAATTAGTTTCCTTTGACAAAACGAATGAAAATGTTTTTCGTTTTCATTTGTTCCGTCTGAATTTTTTTTTTTCTGTTTTGCACATGTCTAATACAGAATATCTTCACTTCAAAACATTTACATATGTATGACTAATTGAATGCCATACAGTTCAACAACTGTAGATGTAGCATTCCCCAACATGATAGAATCTCATTGATATGATACCACACATTGAATTTATGGCAGAATTACCCTACCCATGATATCCACTAAAAGGGTGAGGAACTAAATACTGGTCCTTATTATGCATTCTGCATAAATAATATTAAAACTGACCAATGGAGGTAAAGAACTGAAAGGCCTGCGTATAACAGATCACACTGTATCACAAGAAATAACAGGGATGGAAAAAAGGGAAGATATTATCATATGCTTTGTTATATAGCATTAATTACAATTACAGACCTTGATTTTTTTGTAAGTTACAAATATTTTGTTCCTATTTTTGGCCTACTTAAAACTTTAATAAGGGGTCATTATATATTCATTTGGACTAATTGTTAGGTTTTCATGCTAAATAAATTAGATGTCTGTGAGCAGCAGTGTGATTCCAAACCTGAATAAATGTGTTTGGTAAATAGTTTTTGTTAACATTTCTACAAATGTATAAAAATACAAATGTTTGACCTTCAGTAGGATAGCCTTGTTAAAAAAGGACTTCATCTGGACTTTTTTTCTGTACTGGTTATGCTACAGTTAATTCAAGTATAGCAAATTGTTCAGACTTTACCAGGATATGTGTTTCACTGGTGAGCATCTGTTAAATAAATGACTTCTATTTCTATAACTGGGACATCTCTGGATGACCTAAATAATAGGAAATATGTTGCTAGACTTAACTGCATAACAAACTTGACCACTCGTAACATTCTTTTAAACAGAGAACCTATCAGTGTGACTTATAAAATTAAAAAATGTATTTACACTTTACAGGGCCCTCCTGGTCCATCTGGAGAAGCTGGTCCACCTGGTCCTCCTGGCAAGAGAGTAGGTTTTATCTATATATTGTCCTTCAGTGGTTATATGTATCTTTGGCTGTAGACTGTCTTACATTCTGTCGTATGCACTGATATTTTTCTGTTACATCATGTAGAACAAAGATTGCCTACATTATTGTCTGTCTATATTAATAAATAGTGATACTCCATTTTAAAGCTAATACAGTTAAACAGTCTTCTCAGCTTGAGAAAGATTTAAGCACGCATGGGTAGGAGAGTTCATATTGATGAATCATTATTGCAGAGTGTAATAGAATATTGATTCAACTATGCCTTGTACAAGCAGATAGGTAGGAACAGTCACTGGCATTAACTAAACCTTAAACGTTTCTGGAGGGTCAGACATTTACACATATATAATATTTTACATGTCTGCTTATTGGTACCATGAATATGATCCTTTCACTTGCACTTAATAGTTCATATTATTTTCTAATGATATTACTAATTGTATTTTTGGAGGTATAAATGCATACCTCTGAACAGTACTGACTTTGAGAGGTTTGTTCTAATTTTTAGGTTACAAAAAAGGAAGGGGGGGTGATTAACAGTAGGTATTATATGGAACATATTGTCAAATTGTGAAAAAAATATTGGTGGGGTTTAATGATTCATATTTATGACTAAGCTGCAACCTAAACTGGTCATGCAACAAGTATTGTCATCTTTGGCTGTCTGGGCAGAATCATGAACACCTACACCTTCATCAACCCCACACCAACCAGACCCATGATGATTGGAGGGGAGTTCTATTAAAATATAGGCATCTGAATATGTTATGAATTGGTTATATAGTGTATAGCATATTTATTAAATGGCTTGCTGCATACCATAGTAGATGTACATTTCAGATTTAGTGGCAAGAAATCCTTTTTTAACAGCGCACATGCAATAATTGAATATTTATGTTAGTATGAACATTGTTGAAAAACAAATCTGCATAATAGTGGCAAGAAAGCATCAACACGTTGGCTCCCAGCAGGAAACTGCATAACTGAACAATTTTCATCTGAGAAAGTACTGTCCTAAAAATACAACTCACTCTACCCTTTCTAGCGCTGACACGCATAACTATAATTTACATATACTAGATTGGTTATATGCTGTTATTCTTATTAAGTGGTTTTTCATGTTGAAAACTATAAAGTAAGTATTTTACAGAATTCTTCCTAATCTTCTGTATGATATGGTAGGGATTTCAGGTAGTTTGCATGTTGATTTTTGTTTACATCTAAACTTTTTTCTAGGGTCCTCCTGGATCTCCTGGCACAGAGGGAAGACAAGGAGAAAAGGGTGCAAAGGTAATGGTTTTCAGATATTAAGTATGCATCCCTTTTATCATACCAGCCTCTTTGTGGTGTTGCAGCATGTCAACTTTTTTGTATTTTAGGGTGAATCTGGAGCAGAAGGACCTCCTGGGAAGACAGGACCTGTTGGACCTCAGGGCCCTGCAGGAAAACCAGGACCAGAAGGTTTAAGAGGAATTCCAGGACCTGTGGTAGGTTACATTTTTCATGTTGAAGTTGGGTTAACCAGCAACAAAAGGCAATTTGACACAGCTGTTTTCTAGTAGGCCGAATCAGCCATTGTTTTTTTATATCCTACTGACTTTTTATCTGCCCACCTTAGAGTTTAGCTGGTCCCATTTGCTCCATTTTCCATAATGTAAACTAAATTAAATTTGAATCAGATATCCAGTAGAATATGTAATGACTCTGACTGGTGTGCAGGTAAGCTAACAGATCTTACCACTGGAGTCCCAAAGAAATATAAACTGTTAGGTGGTTTAACTCTCCACCAACTCCAAAATTGCAAATATCAGTCTTATATGTACTGACCCTTTAGATATTATTTTATTCATACTAATTTTAAATCTTTAATTTGCTAGCCAGCTTACTTTGTTCCCGATAGAAAATCTAGCACTACATACTTATTTATCTAAATTTGTCTTTATTTTACTTTCAGGGTGAACAAGGTCTTCCAGGTGCTTCTGGTCAGGACGGACCTCCAGGCCCAATGGTAAGTGATATGAAAGACCTTTCCTGACCTAAATCATCATCAGTTATTTAAAAATAGGAACTATTTAGCTACTATGATAATGGAGGAGCATGACTTCACCATCTGCAGTTGTGTTCCTGAATTTGATCACAAGTAGTAGACTGTGGTTTAAGGCTGAGGAGCTTTTTATAGTGTCCCCAGCTGTCAGTGAACTTTTTTCATTGTTTTCCACAATTAAAAATGTGCTTTTGAATCCTGTCTATAAAATGGACATAAATTAACTATCTGGGGAATCTAAGTACATTTATTAACTTTACAATTTATACTCCAAAACACATTTTTTGGGGGGTAATTGTCATGATCACATAAATTCACTGGGCATTTGTTTTGTGCATTGCTATGTAGAATGGTTTTCTCAAAGTATATACTACTATTTCAGGGACCTCCCGGACTTCCAGGTCTGAAAGGTGACCCCGGCACCAAGGGAGAAAAGGTAAGGAACACAATTATTTTGCTATTATTGAGTTTAAGAGTGAGCTTCTTTAGCTGAACGTGCCTGTAGACCTTTGAGGGAAGTTGGACATGTGTGAATGATCTGACCACCCTCGGGCAATACATGAATGTGCACTTGGGCAACTGTTCATGTTTTAGTTTAATTGAGAGGGATAGGAAAATAACATAATCTGCCTGTGCTTCTCATCACAGGAGAGAACTATAGCAATTAGCATAGCAAGTCGTGCTTCACCTGATAGTAGTCAGTCAGTGGGCACTTGCCCCCACAGACATGATATTGTCACTTGAACTAGCTGAAAGAAATGCTACTAAAGAGCAAATCAAGATCTGGGGATGTAGACAGAGGGACAGGGAGATGAATGCAGCTTCTTCTTACACTGTCCATTTACAGGCTGGGGGAGGGACAAGACCTGTAAGTGTTACTTTACTGCAGCAGAGAAAAAATCAGGTCTCCTGTCCTGCAAGACAGTTCTGTGTTCTGTGGCACGGCTGTGTAAACCACAGTACTAGATGGACAGGTAGGTAAACAGCTTGTTTATATGTATAGGAGTTCAACTTAAGTGAGGAGGGATCGGATTGGATTGTGGAATACATAATACATTTCTTAAACTAGGTCAGCACGAGTGAACAAAACAGTTTTAATATATTATATTAATAATATATTATGAAATGATTAGTACAGTGCAGAAGCCTCTTCCTGCGAGATTTGGGATCCTCATTGTTTCCAGGATTTTGCTGGAGGGATTGTGACTTAATCATGAGGAAGCTATGGGTAAGGTAGGTATATATTCTAAATTGTATCCCGACAGATACATTTTTGTACTTATATTTATTCAGCAATTTAGAAAGGAGGGTCTAATGAGTGGACCTTGCTTTCTAATGTACAGTTTCAGGCAAACATATGCATAGCACCATCGGTCCATTTAGAAAACTAAATGTTGTGACATACTGTATTTGGAAAACAATGTTCTAAATAAGTACTTCTTCATTCAACTGTTATTACTGAAATTATTATTATCATTATTATTATTATTATTATTACTGAAATTATTTATTTGTTTACATTATGAGAAAAAAAATATTTTTAGGTGAGCCCTGATTGCAGCAAGTAGTGATCCATTATGAAATAAGTATGAGTGAAGTGTGGATTGCTGCAGAATATATTTATATATTGACACTTATATTTAAGTTCTGTTATTTACAGTATAAATATACTCTGGTTTGATATGTGTGCAGCATGGTCTGTGCATTAAATATTGATTTCTTTTATCCACTAAGGGACATCCTGGTTTGATTGGTCTGATAGGTCCCCCTGGAGAACAGGGTGAGAAGGGAGACAGAGGACTTCCAGGTCCACAGGGAACTCCCGGATCCAAGGGTGATGGAGTAAGTGTGCAAATTGTCTCAAACAAATCCCTCTCATTACATTTGCGGAGTCTTTGGTTAATCGTTGAGACATTCATTTTTTACTTTACGCTACTACATACATTTGACTATATACTGCCATACTCTAGTTTCCTTATTTTTCTCATAATGTATTTATTTCTATCAGGGTGTCAGTGGTCCTTCTGGTCCAAATGGTCCTCCTGGTGCTCCTGGGTTACCTGTAAGTATCTAACAGATCATTATTTTCATTTACAACACATATTCCATTTACCGTAACTCTGGCATCATAAGATGGTCATTTAATAGAAATCAGTCCAGACACTGAAAGTTTTATCCCCATCATATACATACATGATTTACCAAATGTTTTGATATGAAAGCATAAGCTATGAATGAATTACCTGATTCACTGTTGGATCAGCCACAGGGCAACTTAAAGTGCCCATACACTGGCCGAATTTCGGCCAGTTTTTAATGAACCTGTCAAAATTTGCACAGTGTATGGGGCTATCGGCTCCCTTTTAGCCTGCATTCCTCGATCAGCTGGTCGAATGAGCCTGCTGGAAAATCTCTGTGCAATCAGACACCTGTCAGAATACAATGCAATGGAGGAATTGCGTCAGTTTCTTTCATGCAGCCCGCGGGTTGAACAAAAGAAATGGACAGGTGTAGGTCAGCTTTAGGCAGTATCCTAAGGCCAAGTAATGTTTGAGGATAGCTCATTTGGACACAGCTGTGAACCTTCCTGTGGCTTTACAAGGAAGGATGCTTTTGTAGGCAGTTGGTATCTGGTGGGGGTATGCCAGCTGGGAAAATGCAAATTAGGTTGGTTCTCTGTGTTTATTGTATTCTTTAGCAATGGCAATCAAATGGAAAAGCAGCCAAAGCCCCCATTCTGCCTTAATCTTCCTTTGCACTGTAGAAAAAGCATTATATATATGCTTCTACCTGACAAAATTATTGCTATTTCTGCTTTTTGTGTCCCAATGTTAGTTGTTTGTTCTATGTACACTGTCAAACAAACATACCTTGAATACTAAACAGCCTTTTAATGTTTAAGGGTACCAGTATGTCTAAATTCTTTCAAACACAGTAGAAGATAACTTTAATAATCCATCAATAAATTGTGACAATGGAGAAATGTAGCATAATCAGCAACTGAGGACTTCAAGTTCTATTTGCTGTTTAATTAGCCTTGAAATGGCTGTTATGTCCATAAAGACAAGTTCCTAGAAACATTTTCAAATTGCACACTGGTAAACAAAAATATTGTGTACTGTATACATTACAAATAATAATCATCTGCATTTTGTCCATAGGGTCCTCAAGGTCCTAAAGGTTCAAAGGGTTCAGGTGTAAGTACATCATTTTACTGTTTATCTTTGCATTGTCACCTTAATTATTCAGAAGATGTTTTGAAATTCAAATGTATTCCATGTTAGCTCAATACTTTAGCTGTGCATTTTAAGACTTTTTTTTCTATGACTTTAGGAAATATCTATTGTGTTTTTCTCTGTTCATGTTCTAGTTTTTTAATTATGTTTGCTGACCAATGTAATCACCCCAAAAGAATAACTGTGATTTTTAGTAATATTAAACAGACTCTAGAACTTTAGTCATGGCCATTTACTTTTATCTTAATCATTTCTGACTGCAATTTTGCATTGTATACCACCTACAGGGTCCTTCAGGTCAGAAGGGAGATGGCGGTATGCCTGGACCTCCTGGACCACCAGTAAGTACTTGTTTAAGTCTTAATGGTTTTTTTTATACCAATACATGACTGTCCTTAACATTTTAAACTATATTGTGCTTGATAATAAACAATTTGGACTAAAACTAGTTAATAAAATCAATATAATTTGTGTTCAATACTCAATACTAGTCCTGTTATTATGTTACTATAAATACAGAGTACAATGGATCTTATTATAGTTTAATTATAGAAATGCTCTCACACCTTAAATATTAACTTTTATAGGGACCACCAGGAGAGGTCATCCAGCCACTGCCTATCCAATCACCAAGGAAGACCCGAAGATCTCCTGAAGGCATGATGGCAGATGCAGTAGACAATATTTTGGATTATGATGGAATGGATGAGATATTTGTTTCCCTAAATTCTCTGAAACAAGACATAGAGCGCATGAAATATCCAGAAGGATCCCAGAACAATCCTGCTAGAACATGCAAAGATCTCCAGCTCTCTCACCCAGAGTTCCTTGATGGTATGTAAAAAAGAGAAGCTACGTTTTGAACTTGGATCTGCTTTTTCCTAAAACATGCAAATTATTCACACTCATATTTTTTTTTTTGCTCATACATTTTGATTGGCACATTAGTGTATGTTTCATGGAAAAAAATCCAACCGTTACAGGACATTTAAAATTATTTTTGCAATATCCTTGCAACAGCAAAAATCAAACTAACAGCGCTACAGATAAACAAAATCTAACATACAAATAATCTTAAATACCAATGCTCGTGTTGTATTTTTATTTCCCTATCTGTCAAAGAAAACAATGAAACATTTTGCATACCTTAATTGTGTCCCTGCCAGTGACCAGCCCAGTTCAGCATAATGTATACAGAGCCTGTCTTTGTATCCTAGCTTATCTTGTTTCCCGCTTTCTCAGCGGTAATGCCCAATGATGTGAGCAATTCATCACATGTAATCTGCTGTGTGGGGGCCATTGTTCCATCATCTGCTATAATCGGCCTACAAACATAGCAAATACCATTTATGTGTGTTGCAAAGCAAGTGCAATGTCAGAAAGATTAACCGTGTTTCTCCCAGGTTTGACTACATTTCCTGTATGAATATGAGCATAACATTTTTATGCAAAAGAAAAAAAACTATTTACAATATACATATATATATATATATATATATATGGCCTTGCACATGGCGTGCAATCTCTCATTCAAGGAGAAAAAGGAGGTTAAAGGATTAACCTAAGATGGCATTAAGTTCTCTTGCATCAAACCAAAAAAAATTAAATCTGACTCTGTCTTCATCTTTTATGATTTATAATAAGCCCTTCTCTTCTTCCCTCCAGGTGAATATTGGATCGATCCAAACCAGGGCTGCTCTGGAGACTCATTCAAAGTGTACTGCAACTTCACAGCCGGAGGGGAGACCTGTATCTATGCAGACAAGAAGTCCGAAGCAGTAAGTTATATTAGCTATATGAGCTTCCCAGTGTTAGAATAACACAAAGTTTTACTTAGATAACCTTTTGTCTTTAAAAAATCAATAGAAGGTTCCTGAGCATAAGATGGTGAAGAATGGACAATTAAAACAAAGCTGTCATATAAGCTAAAAGCCAGATATACCAAAAATCACCTTTTTAGTCATCCTTCCTGTTCAGTGATCCCCAAGGCCGCTCACTTAAAATCCCAGTAATTCTAGGAGGAGAGGGGAAAACACAAAACGTCCCCCATATTTCCACACATTGCAGAAAATGGCACATATTCAGAACAGTCATTGTGGGCAGTCATTGGGCACCATTACTGTCAAATGTCAGAACAGGGGTGTACCACAGAGAGTTCAACTACCAACAGTTCTTCTTGTTGTCATTAATTACTGACAAATTTATTTGGGCAGTGGTGAAAGAGTACTATGAAAAATAAGTTTAGCACAGGGAGGGTAAGTTTAGTCTTTAATTTTGTGGATAATTGAGACTGCCATGCAACCATTTGCTCATATACTTAATTACAGAGTTTTTACAAATAAACGGAAGGCTATTTTATTTATCACACAATTGTATTTTTCGAATATAGCTATTTATGGGTAGTACCTACACATTTCCATCACAATCAGTTTCCCTTAATCAAATTAGTTATCACTAAGATGTGCTACACAGTTAATGTTCATTGGGTTGAACAGTCCTAAATTAGTTTATTTGAAATATTTTACAGTTCTAAAAGTTATGGATTTTTATCCGTTTAAATTACAGTGGTTTTCATCCATTTAAAAAAAAATATTATATGTATATTTTACATTATCTTTTTTTTTTTTACAAATAAACTATTAATGCAAAGTGCTTCCATGCTTCGGTATGTGCTGTGCAGTCTGCTATGTCAAATAAGAGAGCCCAGAACTAGCTCTGCACTTGATAACTGCTCTTACAGGCTGAAACTATAGATGGCACTTTCCCTACTAGAAGAAAGGGAGGGTTTTTTTCCTTCGAGTCATCTAGCTCAGTGGTCCCCAACCCCCGGTCCGCGGATCAAATGGTACCGGACCGCACAGCCTCAGTGCTGTCCCGTCCTGCAATATGGGGCAGTGCAGGGTCCCGGTGTTCGAACACCGGGGCAACGCACTGCCGACGGGCTTCACAGTGAGGGGGCGGGTCCTGTGACTCACCTCCCCTCCCGGCCGCGTCCATAGTAACAGGAGGCGGGAGGGGAGGTGAGTCACAGGAGGCGAGCCGCAGTGCGATCGGGAAGTGTGGCAAAACATTGCCTGCATTCCATTCCAGTGCAAACACAAAAAATAGCGCAAGCAGCATTGCAGTGGAACAGAACGCAGGCAATATTTTGCCACATCCGATCGCACTATGGGAGGTGGCTGCAGTGTCTTTGACTTCAATGCACCGCAACGCCCCCTCCCACCCATGAACTCAGCGGAAGATTTGTGAGTGATTGCTGTGCGTTCCAGCAGCTACCGCTCTGGAAAGCACCGTAATTTGTGTGAACAAGCCCTAAGGGCCCAGTCCCACTATAAGGAGTGCGTGCCAGTGCGTTCAGCCTCTGGAATGCAACC